ATAATAAATATGTTTACAAAATAATTGATTGACAATAATATTACAAAACACACTGTACTTATAGTTTAGAATTTTCGATTATATTTAATCAATTTTTTAATTTAATTTTATTTTATACTAGCTGCAAAGACCCGCTTCGCTGGGCAAAAAGTAACGATAGTGAAGATTAAGATAATTACATTATAGCTAATCTTACCGTTTTCACAGAATGCAAGAATTAGGTCCCCCGTTTCCAGACTAATTAGAGAATTTTTACGTTTACTCAAACGAACTATTTTCAATTTCATCAATTTTCTGGAACGTTTACAATCGTTCTATAATCGAACCAATTCGAATTCAAAAATTTTTAAAATCGAAATAGAAAATCTTCAAAGTCAACCACTTTAAGCCCCCATATCTCCCGCACCCTTATAGCTATCGAGACGCAACCACCGTAGTGCACAAATGGAGACTCGGGGCTACTACCACATACAAACACCATTCACGTGCGATGTGTAGTTTTGGTTAAAAAGTGAAATATAAGGACACACACGTCCATTTATATATATATATATATATATTGGCTTATAAAAACATAAGAAAAACGCATAAATGCGTAAAACTTAATTTAAAAAATATCCGCAACTTCAGATAATATAAAGATATAAGAAACCATCAAATAGTTACTTAATAATAATTAGAATCGAGAAAAAAATAAAATAAAACTTTGAAAATAAGGAAATTTCTACGGTAAAGTCAAGTCCCCCACCTGGTGTACCCAAAGCGGTCGAGGTCGAAATAGAAGCCTGAACTCTAACAGAAGTAAAAACAAACGTCGGCGCGCGTCCGGGACAATAAACTAGAAGGGGAGCGAAATCGAAACGAGACACCTGGAAATTTACGCTAATTACTTTTAATATTAAAAAATTAAAATCTTCAGTAAATTACGACTAAATTAAGACCTTTTGACCGAATTCGACCAGAAACGTATCGAAAAGCTAGATTAAAGTAAAAACGCCGGTTTTTCGACGTTAAAGTTTTATTAATTAATTTTTTAAATTGTGCGCGATCTGTATTCGACAGCGACGACGGGTTAACCGCAGACAATTGGAAAAATAGTAACGGCCGTTTTCCATAAAGCTCCGGGATGCGACTCCCGACGTGGGCCGATAAGCGAGTGGTCGAGAAATTAATAATAATTTCCCTTCGATTGTCGTAACCGAACGGCTTATTTTAAAACATTACGTAATGGTAATGTTTTAAAATAATTTTTCGTGTAAAAAGTAAAAATTAATGGTGTAATTTCGGGTGGTATTAAACGTAACTTTTTCTCGTTTATTGGGAAGCGCGTCCCGTCGATTTTCGAGAGTGGAAGCTTTGTTTTCACCGATTTAAATATATTCGGAAAGGTCATAATTTGTATTTTCCAGTCCAGTCGTATCGGATTTATATTAAGGTTTCTCGCCGGTCCGGGATTCCGGGATAAAAGTGAATCGTTTCCCGGGACAGAATTAATTATTTTTAAGATATCAAAAATATCACCAAACCGCGTACAACAACGACAAAAATGCTTCGAATCGAGTTAAACATAAAAAAAATGAACTTAGACGAAACTTGTAACTTAAAAGAGAATTTTCGTTTTTTTAAATAAAACGTAATACAAAATATTATGGTAAATTTTTATAAGATTTCAAAATACTCGGATCAGTCGATCCGATTCTTATTTCAGTAATGAAAAGCGCCGCTACCGAGAATGCCCTTTCCCATTTCATCGTCTTTAACGCGCTTCAGAGAAGACGGGCGTTACGCGTTCTTTCCACTCGGAGCCCGGAAGGTGGGTTTGAGAGGTCGTAAGACGAGAACGAGAAGTTTTTTTATTCTCGGCGACTACGACATTCCATAATATATAATACAAAATTTAATTTTTGAAAAATAAGAAAATTTAATATTTTAAAATTACGCGTAAACGCGCCATCTCGCCCGCCCGCGGGGTAAGACGAGAAGGAGAAATTGCGCGCCCATTTAGCCTAACTCTTCCGTAGATACACGGTATAACCCTCCTCGGTTAAAAGACAGTATATTAAATAGAAGACCTATTTATTAATGGAACGTTAACGATAAATATATGGAAGCGAAAGGGCGACGAATATTAATCGTAAAACGCGTCCAAGCTGGCAGAAAAAATGAATAAATAAACATAAAAGTTTCGACTTACTCGTATTTACCTTACCAGACGATACCGTCGCTTGGCGCACGCTCGGTTTCGCTATTTTGTAAACGAACGATTTTTTTTTCGTGGAAAAAAATCGATTTTATTTCGATGGTTACTCGCATTTTATTTCTCGTTAAGATGGCATTTAAATTTTAAAAATGTTTTTATAAATAAAATAAAGTCCGTAGCCGGCGGCACAATTCGTATTGGCGGCCACCGTCTGGCCCCGACTTTATTTCGAAACTAAACGATTACGGTCTTAAAGGTTACTTCGAATACCGTAATATTTCGTCTAAAAGGTGATGTAAAAGTTGCGCGACGATACTTACTTTGTAGAAACTTTGTAGCGGGTGCGAATTAGACGAATTATTGCCGAAACGTGGAAAACCGTCTTACTTCCGAACGAAGAGAGCGATTCGGGCGTTCTCTCGTCCCGCCGTCCCTTTCCGGGTCGACATTTAGTTCCCCCAATAACGGCTAGACGAAAGCGCGTTAACCGCGAATAAACGGAGTCCCGTCTTACCCCGCGGCCTGGTCTGGCACCGCTTTCCCCTACTTCTTTCGCTTTCTACTATTCTCGATTTGTCTACCTCGGCCGCTTTAATAGAAGAATCCAGCTGGTAGCCCGATAATTCGGCAATTCGTTTGGCTTTAATAATCGGGTTTACGAAGATAAACTTCGTACTCGTTTGTATCCTCGCCCAATTTGCGCCATCCGGCGTTACGCGGTTAAAACTCCAGACGGCTTAAGCGCGATTATTCCAGATATTACGGGTTCCCGCCAGTAAAGAATTTCCTCCACCTTAACACAAAATAAGAAAAAAAGTGAATTTTTAAGAAATTTGCGGGATTTCCCGGTTAAAAAAACAATCGGAGAAACCCTATTTTGAGAAATCGTTTGAGAAACCCTAATTTATATCATGTATTACGTATATTCGGCCGGTTTTCCGTCAAACGCCTAGCCGCGGCGCTCCTAGCCAGAAAAGTGGCCGTAGACGAAAAATTCCCCACCCTATTATTCGGTAACCCGGTACTACGGGCCCGCGCATCCGGCTTACCACGGCCCGGGTAGAAAGTTTAGAAAATTCCGGACTAGAGACGGCCGTTACCGGCCCAATTGTCGTTTACGGGAAGGAGTAATCTGCAAATCCGTAAATTAATTGTTAATCGGAAAGAGGGTATATCGCCGCCGGCCGTTTTGCGCCCCACCGTCCGGGAAAGCTAACGTAAATAATGCGGCCATCATTTACTCCGAAAGTGGCGGTGGCGACTCCCGCCCGGTAAAAATTTACCCATCGACTTGGCTTACGGAAATGGCAGAAATGGATCCCGGGCGTCTAAAGAAATTTCTAGTATGTCCTTCGAATGCTTTTCTTAGGTAGCGGGCAAAATTTCCAGATTTCCTATAAAGCCATGGCCGAAATATTAGCCGCGAAAATGGGTTGGCGCCTCCATTAGACGGGCTGGCAGCTCGGGGTTTTCCGAACTTTCTCCCGGGGGACGACGCCTAAATAGGGGCCGGCTCCCCATAAAAGTCCTCCCGGAAGGCATTCTATATCGTTTCGTGTATCTTTCGGCCGTCTTCTAGAAGGCCGGCTGTTCCGTGGCCTGGCGATTAATCTCCCTTCTCTCTTCTCTTCGGAGTAAAAGCGAATAGCGATACATTCCTCTACCACCGAAAAGAAGGGAAAGGAAAAGAAAGAGGCGAAGAAAGTGCAACCCCGGCCAAAAAAGCCGTATTTTCTTCTTTTTCTTGGTCCGGTAGAGAAAACGGGTGGACCAAGCGCAGATTTTAAACGCCAGCCTTTCCGGTTGAGGGTGAGAAGCTGGCCAAACTTTCGGGTGGATAGGTCGAAGTTGGCAGCGGTTTCGGTTCGACGGCTTAATTTTATGCTTATAAAGATACTCCAAATGTTACTCGGAATTACAAAAGCTCAAATTTATGCCGATTAAAACTTTTTATTTATGACGATTTTTTAAATGGCGAATGGAAAGCGCGGGTCGGCCACCGCCGCTGTAATAATACAATTATTAAACCAAAACAATCGAAACAAAAATTTACTACAATTCAGACGACGGTGGAAATTTTTCTTATCAGTTTTTCTTGGGCGAAGACCGGTTCGACGCTTAAAGGCCGAACGTCATACAGTACTACGTTGGCGCACAATCCACGACTGGCTTCGATCTGGATTTGCCTACAATCCGTCGAACGTCGTACTGTTGGCGCAGGCAGCCCGCTGGAGAAGAATCCGGCTATTACACGCGACGATAAAACTGACATAACTACGCGATAAGTCACCAACACCCACAAACAAAATAAAAGTTTTGGCTAGAAATAAATACTTTTCTTCTAATATATTTAATAATATACGGATGTCTGTTTATTTGAAACCTCTAAACAAGAATATTTTAAACTTTTAAAAATAATTTTTAAATCGACTGTTCTTGTTGTCCTTAGGAGTTTCCACCATCGTCCGAATTGTAGAACGTACGCGCTATTTGTTTTGTAAGTCGATAAATTTTAAATTTTGGTTGGGCCCAAGTTCCGAATCCCATCCAGCGTTTTCCTACGGGACGCGCCTGCCCCACCTTGTCTCTAGCACGCATCTTCCGCGCAAAAAAGAGGGACGGGCGTACTTAGCTTAGAATCGCGGCCGGGCTTTTTCCGCGGGGTCAAACAAACGGAGAAATAACGCGGCGGTGGACGTCCATCCCCTTCCCTTTACCGCGCGGAGTACGCCGGGTGGGGTAGATTCGGCCGCCGGAGTGGCGGGCCACGAACTTTCCCTTTAAATAATAAAAAAGCGGCGGCGATTGGAAAAACAAGTTTAATGGCAAAAAGAAAACGGCTACAAAACGAGAAGCCGGTCCACCCTCTCGGCTGGGAGAAAGGTCCGCCCGCATTCCGGATTACTTCTGTATTTTCACTCTGTTAAAAAAAATAAATAAAACGCATTTAGAAAGCGGAACAGTCTTCCGGTCGTCCGGCTGGACCCACGTCCTTAAACTACCCCTCGCTCCGTACCCACGGCGGGATAAATCGACTATACTTACGCGAAAAGTCCGGGCGTGGCGGGTTAAAGGTTAGACGTTTCTCTGAAAACAGAAAATAAAAGTATGACGTCGGTGGACCACCGGGCGCGGGAATCGGAGAATTTCCCGCCCTTTACCTTTTTGCGGTCGGAAGGGAAGACGGAGACGGAATGGACCAAAATCTGGCTGCGGTTGTCGGTCTTCTCCAACACGCTTCTGCTGACGTTGTACTTCCTTCCGTTGACTTCTATTATTTCGCTGGAAGTGTTGCGAAAGTCGTCGGGCAGGGAGGCGGTTTGGTTGAACAGAGAGTAGATCCTCTTCATGGCGTCTGAAAAGCGGAAAGAGGTTAACTGGGTCGTCCCCATTTACCCGGCCAGATCGGCGGGGCGCTCTCACCTTCGAACTGTTGGAACACGGCGTCGAAATGGCGGAAGGGGTCGACGAAGAAGCGGAAGGACAGTTCGTCCTCTCCGTCGTCGTCGTCGGGAAATTCTTCCGGCGGGTCGGTTCGGTCGGTCCGGGGTCCGGGGATTTCGTTCTTCTCGTCCGAGGGTGGGACTTGCCGAGCCAGGCGGGCCGACAGACCCGTCTGGGACACCCGGACCAGCAGCAGCAGCAGGAAAATTCCGGCCGGCTTCCACATTTCTGGAAATAAAAGTTTTAGATTCTTCTGGGAAAGTGGCGGGCCTCTCCGGGCTCCGACCACCAACTTTGTAAGAAAGAAACTTAACCCAACCTTACAAACGGGAATTAAACTAGACGAACTTTACGTAAATGGAAAATTCTTTTCCTTCGGATTAATTCGTTCCCGGAAAATACACGGAAATGGGGCAGAAGTTTTTCCTAACGGAGACGGGAAGAGGAAAGCGCGTCGGCCGCCTTCCCGGGGGTAACGGGCGCCGTTACGCGGCGGTGGGTGGAGCGGAAAGGCGACAAATACTATAATTGGAACGACCTCGGCGGGTAAACAATTGCGTTTTTATCCCCGGACTTTTAAAGCGCCCGGTTTTCGGCATTCTCTCTTTCCGTCGCCTCTCCTATCTTCCGCCCGCCTCCTAACTTTTGGAGGGGGAATCCGACCGTCCGAGGGAACGGAATCTCCACCGGCTTCCCCGTAGTCTCCGCCAGACTTTCCCGGGATCCGTACGAATTTCGAACGTAACGGTAAACGTTTGCCACTTAATTACGATTAACGTCTTACGTAGAAGAAAATAAACGTTCCGCGCCCCTACCTAGCCCGGTCGACCGGCGGAAATTACCAGAAAGCCATCTTCCCCCGGACTGCTCCAGGCCACTTACCGCGGATCGCTTTTTAACTTTCGACTCGGGACCCGGTCGTCGGGTCGAGAGTTAAATCGTAAATTTGGGAAATGTAAGAGGCGAATAAGAAAGGGAATCTTGGTGTCGGCACCCGGCAGAAAGGGAAACTTTTCGCTTCGTCCGCGTCGGAAATACGTCGTTTTGTCGGCCACAAACGCGTAAATAAATTCGTACCGTTAAGGCGGGCTTTTATCCGGCACCCTTTACTTTGGCCATAGCGGATACCGCTTAATATTCCCGGGCTCGGACGGTCGGGCAGACGTTAAAAAGCCCTGTTAATAGGAGCGGGCAGGAAAGACTTTATAACGTTGAGCTTTAGAAGCGAAGACCGGTTAGAGAAACGGCCGCGAGGGAGGAAGACGTACTGCGCACTTATCCGCCGTGACCGGAATAATTTACGAAAAACTCCGCCGTTGGACCGGCGTTTTTAATTCTACGAAAAGCGCCGGTTATTTTAATTCCGAGAACGGAAATTTTCCATCCGGCCGCCGAAAGGCGTAAAAACCAGCTCATTTAATATAAAGAAGGCGCGGTAAGTACGGTGCCGAGATTTTCGGCCCGCCACCCCGTCGAACCTCTTAACCGTAAGAATTGCACCGGCGAGTAATTATCCGGATAGAAGGAAAAGTCGGAAAGGTGGTCCGACCGAAAGGGCAAGGACCGACTTTTCTCCCTGCCCCCTAATTAATTGCATTCGAGGGGTCTATATTTAGTTAACTTATAAAAATAGGCCCCGACAGTGGCCGTCGACGCGGGCTTTCCAAACCCCCGTCTGGGAAAGAGACCGGCCGACGATTTTCCAAATTCCACCTCCGTCCGTCGGCTCTTTTATTAAAAAAGAGAAATTTACGGTCGGATCGAAGGATTTCCCTTCTGTCTAATCGCTACCGACAGACGCGTTTTACATCCTCGTTTATTTACGCCAAACTACGGCCCGTTTCCGCCCGCCGCGGAAAAATTATACCGGGGAGTATGGGACGGGCCGGCCCGCCGCGGTTCTTACCTGTTCTTACCTGTTCTTTCGAGTCTATTAATGCCTTCCGTATCTCATTGCCAATTATAAACCCCGGCGGCGCGTGCTCCGATCACGTGAGTTCGAAGTAACGGAGTCTGACGTTTCCTCCCATCTCCCGGTCCGATGACGAAACGCCAATTACCCGCCATTTGCAGTTCGACTCGACTTTCCGGGAAAGACGTAAATTAAAGGGGAAGTTCGAACCGCCCGCCGACATTTTCCCCGGGCAAACGTTCCCTCCCGGTTTTTCTAGGATGGCCGAGCGGCTTTCCGTTCGGCAAATGCTAACCACCGACGGAGTTTTGCCCGTTTATCGCTACTAAACGTAAAATAGATAATTCTATATTAATAAAGAAATAAGCGATTGTTTGGAAGACGGGCGCCACGCCCTTCCCGTCGGGCGATTAATTGGTTTGGAGAATGGCGAAACGGCGGAGGGAAAACAATAAGAACCTTGAGCTTTCTTCCGTCCGCAATATTTGTAGAAATAAACCAGGTTTTTTCTCCGTAATTAAATTAGCTTTGCGGCAGAAAAAGCCCGGACGTCGGTCTTTCCTCGATTTACGCCTAGGCGGAAGCCGGAGATTTGGTCCGGGGCGACGAAGAGTAAATAATTTAGACCGACGAATCGCTAGTGGACTAAAGTCGTCCGGTGCCCGAAACCAGTTTGTTACGGTCAATCTCCCACCGCCCGATAAAATGTGGCCGGACACCTGGAATAGGAAAGCCAAATTCTTAACGACAACGAATCCCTCTGGCGGGTTCGAACCGAGACATTTACGCCAGAAGGAAGGAGCCGTATCCGGGAAAGAGACGTTTGGACTTGGCGAGGTAAACAATTCGGACGATTTCCCAATCTGTCCGAAGCTTCCGCCCCCGCGGAGTACGGGTCCTTCTCTCGGTTTCCGCCCGCCCTTTCTTCCCAATCGTCCCCGGCTTACGTCCTTTCGGTTCGTAGGCGAAAGGAGACGAGTAAAAGTTTAAGTCGAAGGAAAATATTAATAGTCGGGCCGGGCCACTAAATGGGAGCGGAGGTTAAAAACGGTTTTTAAACGGAGAACCGAGTAAAGGACGCCCGTCGGTGACTTTGTTATTTTTCTATTTCGGAAATAGTCGGTGGTCACCCGTATAAAACCTAGCGGTGGCAGGGCGAATATCTCTTAAAACCACCCGGTAAAAGCCCGGCTGCCGACGGCGGCAAATTCGTCTGGCGCATTTCTAGGAATTTTGCCCAGTTTTAAACACTGCTAAATAACAATGAGTCGTTTTCCGTAGATCGACGCGCTAGTATTACGGCTTAAATTTTTACCGCTTTTATTCCCGCCGGGCGCATTCGAAACCACAAATGTTTTATCGTATTCCCCCGGATTCGAACCACCATTTACTCGGGATACCCGCGAAAGAGGTAAACCTCCTCCGCGCCGTAATTTCGACTTTTTTAAAACCGTAATTGAAATTTCGTCATACGCGCGGCTGCGACTTTTCCGCTTTCGAAACGTAAAACGTCGACGCTGCGGCAGTTTCCGCCCGTCGAATGCGGCGCGGGGAGATAAGTAAACTTTCTGCGGTTGCGCCCGGCCCGGGTTTGGACGTCTGCAAAACGGATGCGCGTTACTAAAATATCCCTTCCGGTATAGTCTAGTTTGCCCGCCTGTAAAACGCCTAAGGAACCGGGACCCGTAGTTTCGGAGGAACCGAAATCCGGGTAAAAGTTAAGGAAACAAATCACTCGGCTTTAGGGAAAGATAAACTTTCCACCCGGTTGGGAATTCGGCGCTAGTGTCCGACGGTCCGCCGATAGCGACTTTTACCGGAATTTTGGTATTTTTGCCTTCTGCAAAAATGCCAAAATTCCCAACGAAAAGACGGCCGCGGGCGAGAAAGGAGAAAGATTCCCGTTGACCGGAAGCCGCCAAAAAAAAAGAAAAGAAAAAAGTTTTCCCGAAAATCCGAAATACGTCGGTTTGGAGATTTGCGGGGAAAATTAGGGTAAGGAAGTCGAAACTAATTTCCGGAGCTTTCGGCCGCGGTTCCGATATTTAAACCGCGCTTTAACGGGCCCCGGCTTTTACATTTCGACTTTTCCACCCTATTTACCTGGCCGGAATACAGATTTGGTGGGTTTCCCGTTTCCTCCCGGGCCGTTATTAAACCCGGTTTCTCTCCTCCTCCGGAATATCCTCTTATAAAACAAATTGCCGTCCGAATTGTTCCGGCCGACGTTCCCCCGGGCGGAGAAAGGGCGGCTCTTTCCTCTCTTATCCGCTCGTCCACCGGATAATTTTCCACAATTTTCTCATTATCGATAACGGTCGTTTCTCGACGTCGATCTTTATCGTTCTCTCGCCGGCCGCGCGGCCCGAACCGGGACTCCACCCACTCTCCCCCTCTCCTTCCGGCGCTAAGGCGGGCCTCTTCTTCCCTTCCCCGCCCTTCTTTGCCGGATTTCGGGCGGAGAAAGCGGGCCGCGGCCCTCTCCTCCCCGGGCCCTAACCGGGGCGCGGTCGGCGTTTTATCCCGGAGCCCGAGTTACGTCAGGCGGTAGAAATTGGCCCGTTGCCCTTTCTCTTCCACCGCAAATATGTAAATCTGGCAATTTAAGTAGCTAATAAGCGTTAAATATTCGAAATACTCGACCTAATAAGGAGTTTATCCGGGCCGCGCGCAACCACTCGAAAAGCGCCTCGTCCCAAAAACGCCTTTACGGCTGTACGCAGCCTCCGTCGCCCACTTAATCCGCCGTTCCTTCCCCTTAATCTCGCCCCTGCCGTTATTTTTTCCCGGTTGCCGTTTTAAGCGTCGACCGCCGTCCGAGTAACCGGAAGTGAGAAAACCGGAAGGAAGACGGCGGATTTCCGTCGGACGAAAATCGCCCGACCGGGCTAACGGTGGAAAGGAAGTGGTCTTCCCGCCCTTTCGAAATAACGGAAGGAGTGGTTATTTTACCGGTTCCGTAATTCCCCGTTTCGACGCCGGGTCCGTCGGACCGGAGCGGTGGCGGTACGGTACTTTAATTAATCGAGATTCCTATGCCAAATTTCACCCGATTCGTCCGGTCCATATGATTTTTCGGAAGCGGCCGCGCCCGGGCAGCCGCTCCGCCAATTAATTCTTTCCGGGTCTTTCCGGAACGTCGAGTCCGTAATTATTCCGGCGGTAAGAACCGGCAGGACCGGCAGTTTACCCCGGGAGGCCACCCTCCGTACCCGGGGATCCGCCGGCCCAGGGTAAACGCAATTACCCGGATTGGTCCGGGGTCGGGATTCCCTTTCCCGAGGTCTACCCGTCCCGTTACCGCGTACTTAAAGAAAAAGTCTCTCGAATTATAAACGGAACGGTTACCGTCGGTTTTGCGGAAATTTTACTTTCGTAATCTCTCTCCGCTTCTACCGCGTTATAACACTTATTAATCTGCCGTCCGCGCGTATTCCGTCTACTCGGATCTCGTTTACCGATGGGACTTATTATACCGGCGCACTTAGCGATTGGCGACAGAAGATCTTAGTCGAAAGTCGAAACAAAATATGTTTATTTCCAGCTGGAAATAAACATATTTTCTTTCGACTTTTGACTATAAAAAATATTTTGCCGGATTTCGACACTGCGCGAGGATCTAAAACCGCGGTAAAAGGTCTTAAAAGGTGGGCATTGTCCGTCTGGGAGTACGGTAAAATAAACGGCCGACTTCCGTCTTACGCGAATACAGTGGTAATTTTCTTTTCGTCGTCGACGAAAAGGGTAACTAAAGTAACATTTCCAAACACTTTTTTCCATCTTTCCAGTTATTCGAATTAAGTATAAGACCCGAGATTCGGGGTTATCCAACGTCGAATTTCCTTTTCGCCCACCTGGGGAAAAGGAGCGCGCGCGACTCAGAATGTAGCGGATAAGCTGAGAAAGCTGTTAAGACTAGAAAGTAGCGGCAGAGTAGCGAGAAAGTCCACCTCCGTCGAAGCGGAACCCTTCTACCGCGTGACCGGGCGTAGACGCGGTCCGGGTTTGGGTAGGAAACCAATTTTCCCAACGTTCCTTATAAAAGATAGTTTACGCTTTGTCAACAAACGTTATAATCGTTTATAAAAGTATGGTAATGTCGAAAATCCCGCNATAATTTATGGGAAAAATAATAATGCCGAATCATTTTACGTATTATAATAAAGAGGAGGGACGACTTAGATAGACGCGTAACGGCCGGGGCGGGCTACCGCGCCTAGCTGTACCGGTACATTTTACACCGTGTTTGGAAAGCTCGGCGTAAAGTTTATAGAAATTATCGGAGATTGCCGTCGAAGCGGAACCCTTCTACCGCGTGACCGGGCGTAGACGCGGTCCGGGTTTGGGTAGGAAACCAATTTTCCCAACGTTCCTTATAAAAGATAGTTTACG